CCTAACCCTAACCCTAACCCTCGTTATAAACCCTTCCCACTCGACAGTCGGCTCCTGGCTGCAGCGATATACAGTATACTTGCATAATCTGGTCATCGTTAGACGACAGGGGGACATTTTTATTATAAAGCTAACTGGACAGCAAAGGATGGGGGGTAGAGGGTGACACCGGCCCATCCGTATCTGTCCCCAGATCGAGTCCCTTAGCTTTTATGGATCTTTGGGGTCTTGGGCACCTGAAAGGATTTTGCTGATTCAGAAGAAGAAATATATTCATAAGAGGAGCATCTGAGCACCACGTCATTACCGGAGGTCTCCGGATGGGGCCGCTGTACACCTAAAAAGGCTGAGAAGTACAGACAGTTTGAGGAGGTCCCTGCCGACAGCTTTAGGCTAACGGCGGCAAGCTGGGACAGGGAAGCTGAGAGCCCACCATGGTGACTTCTGGGTTCAGTACTCTGCACCGCTTCCCCCCCCCCCCAACGCCTCCAGCACACATCCTCATTTCAGCATTTCAGAGAGGGCAGTCATGCCTGAAGCACGATTCCCTGAGAGAAATCCCTCGCTCATTCCCACGACGAAGTTTCAGACTCAACCTCCATGGGAGGAGGAAGTCAATCGGAGCCTTCTACAGGAGGAACTCCTTGGGCTTCCTAGGTACAGACGTGCCCCCAGCAGCCCTACCACCAGGGGTCGGTCTGCGTAGAGCTACAGCCTCGGGTTGTCTCATAGACAGGTGCCAGACAACGGCTCCGTCAGCTACATGTGGCTTTTGGCTAAATCCAGGAAGCTTCGGGGCAATGAGGTACGAAAGGGGTGCGGGGGTCACAAACCCACAGCGGTCCCAGGAAAGGGGCCACGTGTCAGGAGAAAACCAAATGAGAATCTGCGTTGCCAAGGTTACTCTTTATTTTAGGAGGGCGCTTGGGGAACACTTACTGACACCTTAAAGGCCCTTAATCCCGACACAGGTGAAAGGTCACGGCCTTCACAGCTAGACTGTGTCATGCCAGAACGGGGTGTGGGGGCCGAGCGTTATGGACGGCTGCGGCTGAGCGCGCCTGCTTGTGAAGGACCTCCACTTCCTGGTGATTAAGGACCTAGGCAGGCAGCGAGTGTGCAGTGGATAAACCGTGTTAGAAATGGAGTAACTTATTAATTAAGGTGCTCAGCGTGACAGGGAAGGGGCAGGCAGGGAGCGGGCAGGCAGGGAGGGGGCAGGCAGGGAGGGAGCAGGTAGGGAGGGGGCAGGCTCGCAGTCACACGCTGGTGTAGTGAAGCCTGAACGTGTTGCGTCAAAGAGCTACTGAACATGGCGCCTGAAAATACTACACCGATAGCGCATGGCTATCGAACACGATCCCAGTGTCCAAACCCAGGAGGTTATGCACAAAGAAAATCCCGCCAATACCGTCGGGCCGCCGAACCCGATAAACCCACAGAAGTTAATCCTCGCTACTAAGTTTCGCCTTCCCCCGTTCCTGAGGTGAGATCCCTAAACCAACAGCCATGCCGCCTTGCCCCCTCTGGCTGTTGGACCGGTTCTGACCGGTTTGTGCCGGCTGACATTTAAAACTTCATGCAGTTATGGATACAGGCCACACGGGTAGGATTATCATTTCTTCTTTATTTCCCTCCTTCCCTTAAAGTGTCCCGGTTTGAGCTGCCACCCCACCCCCGCCTCGGCAGAGGGTGGATGCCAAACTATCACGTGCAAAGAAATTCTGATGTTGATACCTCCGTGTCCAGCAAAACCACAGCTAGACTTCATGGAGATGGAGGAGCAGGAGGAGGAGGAGAAGGAGGAGGAGGAGAAGGAGGAGGAGGATTCCCTCTGGCCCAACTTTTGAGCTGCGGAGCCGCTGCCTTGGAGGCTCCCGCCAAAAGTCCTCAGGCCTGCTTCCCACGGTCGCTAACAAGCGGCTTAGGCTGCCAGCAGGACTCCACAATAGAATGGATTTTTCAAACAGGGGAATTATGGGAAATTCTGCTAAAAGTGCCCAAATTGAGAGACCCATATGGCCAACACAACACTTACCAGGCCAAGATGACATCAAGCCGGCTGCTTTATACTGCAAGTGCTACCTTATGGGCGTATCAGGGATGCTGACCTGCTCCAGCTGAGATGCTCTCCATCCGGAGGTGGATTTGGAGGGGGGGGGGGGGGGGGG